GTGTTCAGAGCCACTGTGTTTGCAGTGTTATCCGACATTGTTTACAATTGATATGAAGATGAGAAAGACGACTGATGGATCGAGCTTTCACTGCTCTGATACCATGTAAGAATATTGAAAAGGAAATGATAATGATGGAAAGAAGTTTTCTGCTCTTTTCCCGTGCCTTTACATTGTTATTTACATAGTATATGAAAGAATATAAAAATAACTACTTTATTCAATAAATGTACTATTCTTATTTGTGGGTCACGTGTTCACATGCACTAAAGTGAAAAGTGGACAGCTGCTTTGTATCAAAAGCAGATAAAGAGTTTTGGTCAATGTGACCAAGCTTTTGTGCAGACCAAAGCTCCAATTTCTCTTTCCTTGTCTCTTCTTCTTTCATCTTCAACTTTCTCGGTCATGGAGTCTGGTTTCAAACAACCAGCTCCAACATATTCATAATTCATATAGGTCTCGCTTGATCTCTAAGTTCCAATCCTACATTTTTCACTCAAAAAAGATATACGTTCAATCTTAAACAAATTTTAGTTAATTTATTTCTTTTTACTAAAATTTAATGGATACATGCATAACTATAAGACTTAACAAATAGACACATATCTTTGCTAATTTCTACTATCCATGCACCTCATAAAGATGTGGAAATGTGTTACCATATATCTAATATTAAAGCTATATTTACTATAAAAAAAACAAATAACTATTAACATGCATGCACAGATTTTATATACTTTGCTAAAATAAACTAGAACATTGAACCCATTACGAATTATCAATACATGCTACCAATCACAATGATTAGCTCACAATACCAACAAAAAAAAAATAGAAAATTTTAAAATGAAGATGGGAGAAAAAAAAAGAAAAAAAAAGAAAAAGAGAGAAGATAATTCGAAAATTTACGTATGTCTAAATTCTATAGTACTTGCTAAATACAAATTACATCTGTCTTCCAATTTAATCATATGATTACTTTTAGCATGTTATAAAGTATTCTATACCCTAACATTATTCGATATGAATTTAAAATTTGTAACGAATTCAAATTTATTTACTATGAAAAATTTAAAACTCGTCGTGGTATATTATTTCAATATTTTTTCTGTTTCTACTGCTAATATATTACATAAAAAGAGAAAAGGTCTAAATTTAGTATATTATTCGAAATTGTTCAATTTTGTCCTTCGTTACTAGTCTATTCATATTTTTTATTGTTAGTAACTCGTCTCATATTTGTTCCTCAAGGATGAAATGACGTTCAAATCCTCAAGAAAAAATATTTAATTTTACCCCTCAACTTTTAAATATAGTTCAAAATTATCCGCATATTAGGGGTTAGGAGTAAAAATAAGATTGTTTTCTATCGGTGGGGGTAATATTAGACCAATAATTTAATGTTTAGAAAATAGAGATCACTAAACATTGTACTAATGTACTTTTGAGTTAGTGGGACATTTTGCTTTTGTTATCCTTTGTGTTCTTTATTTGGTAAATGAATAGAATTTTAATAGTCCAATAATAAATTTGAATTAGCCTCAGCATCTTTGTCATGTGCTGAGCTCTCATGTACTATTTGTTTCTCCCCTTCTCTCTCTTTATACTTTCTCAAAACACTTTCAACTCAACTATGCATTTGATTTAAAGTCCCAATAAAAGTTCCTCTGTACCCCAAAAAAGAGAAACAATTGGCTTAGTAAATTGTTAAAAAAGAGGTTTTTACATAGCCAAATGAAGTGAGAATTTTATTGTTTCCTATTCACTTGAGTAAAAAATATCAAATACCCAATTCATATTGAACAGAAATGCAATGACCCTTTTCATTTGAGCTCAAGATTTGGTCATCTGAAGTTGAAATCTGGTACTCCTGCTACTTTTGGCTAATGGGTATTGGTTTTCTTGACTTCTGTTTATGATTTAGTTGAAAAAGTTTTGATTTTTCTTTAACATAGAGTGTCATTGGTTGTGTTTATATCACTACTTGCTTACAAGAATGTTTGGAATGATTAGAAATTGAGCTGTGATTAGTTGAGTAATAATCCACTTGACTCTTGTTGTTAAATGAGTCAAATGTTTGTATTTCTGCTGCAAATCCTCAAAAAGAACTGATTTTGCTGTAGTTTTTAGGTAGTTTGAACTTGTATTGAGTATATCAAAACTGAGCATAGTGTTTTGAAAAAAAGATGGTACATAGCACTTGAACTAGCATGGAGTATTTATCTGTTCTGATATTTTCAGATTTTTTTAGGTGAGTTTTAGCTATGTATTCTTTTAGAAGTTAAGTTCATGTTGAATTATTTGGTATGACGAGGACATGAGTTGAGCTTAAGAAACATGGTCAGTGAGTATTCATATACCCGACCGCGACTTGTTTGGCACTGAGATGTAGTTGTTGTAGTTGTTGTTCATATTAATTCAATTTTGCTTGCCAGTTGGAGTGAAGGTATTTTAAGCAAATCAATGGCTTCAATTAGAAGAGCATTGTCCCCAGTACCTCGCCCGGGGAATAGAATTAATGGAGAAGCATGTTCTGTTGCGTCTCCATTGTCCAAGTCATCGTCGTGTAATCAAAGTTATACACCAGCTGCAGGGTTTCTGTATTCTTATTTTGGTTCATTGGATTATGCATTCTATAAAGTTCGGACATTTGTAGTTGGTATTTTGTCGCGAAGATCATCTAGGCCATTAGAGAGGTCAAAGTTAAAGGGCCAAATTTGGAGGAAAGCACTTCTCCAATTTTTAATGTGCTTTGTTCTTGGAGTTTTTATTGGCCTCACTCCATTTGTTTCTCTGAATTTGTCAGCAAATGTAATGTCGAAACATAAAACTTTCTCCTTTGAGGTGTTCCACCCTTACGAAAATGGCAGCTTATTTGCTGATGTGTCTAGAAATATGACATCAACTGTAAACAGTTCGGATTTCCTTGATAATTCTACGTCAAGGACTAATTTAATATACAGTGAATTGAAAGCTGAAACTGCCGTCAATGTGTCTGATAACCAATCGCTGGATCAAGATTTGACGGTGTCCAGAAAACTTTTGATCATTGTGACGCCAACAGAAGCACGGTCATTTCAAGCTTACTATCTAAACCATTTGGCCCATGTATTAAAATTAGTCCCGCCTCCTTTGTTGTGGATAGTCGTGGAGATGGACTTTCAGTCAACAGAGACAGCTAATATATTGAGGAGAACTGGAGTTATGTACAGGCATCTCGTATGCAAGAAGAACTCAACCGAAGTAAAGGATAAAAGTGTGAACCTAAGGAATGTGGCACTAAACCACATTGAAACACACCGTCTTGATGGGATTGTTTACTTCGCAGATGATTCCAACATATACTCAATAGATGTCTTTGAACAAATGCGGCAGATCAGGTAGTCTATTTATTCGTTTTACATATAACTTTGTATGCTAGCTATCTTTCTTTTATTTTTTTTATTGGTGATTAGCCTGCGTATTAGCAATCTTGTGTTTTGAATTGTGATATGTTGAGCGATTCTTGCAGCAGATTATGTCGTCACAGAACATTGAGATTGCTCAGTTCTATTAGTGTTTGCAAATCTCTTTTCCTTTGATTCTTGTGAAGTTGTTCTTATTTGATTTTAGCAGTTATGGAATTGGAATCCATTTTTAAATGCATAATAAATCCATGAGCCGAGTGCCTATCGGAATCAGCCTCTCTACCTGCACAAGGTAGGGGTAAGGTCTGCATACACACTACCACTCCCTAGACCCCACTTATGGGATTATATTGAGTATGTTGTTGTTGTTGTTTAAATGCATAATAATGAGGTAAATAATACTTGTCAAAATATGGTAATGAGGTAACAATATACATCCTCTTGAGATATTAAATATTTGATCTATGTGCCTGGATAGGTTCATTATGGCACATGGTTCTTTTGTTTTCGTTGGGGCAGGGAAGTGACAGGGGAGGGGTAACTGGATTTGGTCATAATCAGGACATGTATATCTAAATTTCTTTCATGGTAGATTTATTGCCGTATATGCATGTTAGCTATGAATTCTCAAGACTTCTTGAAAGATTTTAAACTGAAATGTCGAAGACAGCATTCAAACTGTAAGTTCTATGACATAGTGAAAGTTGGATATAAGAAGAAAATTCCACTTAAGACTCTATATATGTCAAGTCATTGGTTATGATAAAGAGATTGACTACTTGTAGTTTATCGTCACCAAATAATCAGAAACGATAAACAGTAAGTTGGAAATTATGGTTCAATTTTTTTCGATAAAGTGCTTGTCATATTATCCTCACCCGTTTCAGTGAAGTTCTGCACTGACAGGAGATCCTGAAATAAGGACGACAAAAATGCTATTAAATGTTCCAGATAAGTAGGAAATAAAGATGAATAGAGCAAAACCAAGTTTGACTCATATTCTCTAATTGGTGATAGCTCTTGTGCCCTTTGTATATATACGTATTTTGGTTCAAGCTAAACTCATAAAAGTGTACTAGTGAAATGAAGGTTCAAGAAAGCAATCAGCAGCTTAATATCACATTTGTTCTTAACAGTAAAACTCTATACATTAGAGCAGAATAGAAATAAAAGATTCATATAGCCGACCCCAACTAATTTGATGATTGAGGAGTGGTTGATCTGTTGATGATTGCGTACATAGAAGAATGAACAATCAAGGATCAAGGTAGTCTTGAATAGGAAACTGCAATGGAGCGGATTGGATAGAGACGATTCATATAGTCGACCCCTAGTAGTTTAGGATTAAGTCATAGTTTTTGTATATGATGACTAACGCCATGGCTAATATGTCAGAAAACAGACCTAGTTGGAAATATGACATTCCCTTATGGAATCCAATCCTGAAACAACTATTCATTTTTTCTGTCATTTTCTTGGGTTCCCAGTCACTCGACAAATCTTTCCACATGTGAGAGTGATCAGAAATGTTTTGTCATGTCTATGGTCTTATAGTATTGTCAAAGGTGAAAAACACAAAGAACTGCTGGGAATTTAACCGAAAATTACAACCGAAGTTCACGTTTCGGTGAACATAACCGCAACATGAAAAATAGTAGTGATATTTATACAACTGCAGAAAAAATTACTATACACACAAACAACAATCATATAAGTTGAGGAATTGAAATTATCCAATTATGTGAAATATATAAAGTAAAAGAACATTTAGTTGCTCACGTACTACTCTGCTCTATAGCTTCCCTGATTTTGTACCTTTTTCTACAATAAAGGTTTCTAGAACAAAAATGAAACTTGGCCGTGAATTCTCTGCCAGTTAAAAGCTGATATATATGAAGACAAGCACTAAAAAGAAAGTATAAGAAATGCACCTAATTGACTCTGAGCCGTCATACAATTATACATTTAGCAAATATACATCCTATGGTGGATTTTCTTTTTATTTTATAAATGTTGCAGTTTGAGACAAACCATACTATTTGCCATTTGCATTGCCCCCCCCCCCCCCCC